TACTGTATTTTAAATTATTAGTGTTTCTTCCATCAGTTTTCAGCACACCTTCATCTGAATCTAGTCTGATTTCTGTATGCTTTGCATAAGGATTAAACAAATAGGGGGATAAAATGGACCCTTGTCTGACACCTTTACCTATGGGAACCATTGTCTCCCTGTATTCGGTCCTAATGGCAGCTTATTGTCCACAATACAAGTTATCCATCAGGGCAATTAAGAGCTGAGGCATACCCATTTCTTTCAGCACATCGCATAATTTCTCATAATCCAAACAGTCAAAGGTTTTGCTGTATCTAAAGCACAGATTGATCTTCTGAAATTCTTTGGTGCTTTTGAGTAGGCACCGTATATTTGCAATATGATCTCACCCGCCTCTTACTGTTCAAAATTCAGCTTGAACATCAGGCAATTTTCACTTCATGCAAAGTAAAGGCCTTTGTTGCAACACCCTGAACATCACATTGGTTGCATGGGAAACTAAAACAATGATCCTATAGTTACTGCACTACTCGGCATCTCCTTTCTTGAGGATTGGTATGTATATTTAAGATTTCTAGTGTGGGGCCATTGTTTTGTATTCCATATTTGTTGACATATTCCTGTTAAGAGTTTGACAGATTGATCCCCTATGGCTTGAAATAAATCTATTTGTATTACATCTACTCCTGGGAATTAATTTTTCCTAGTGCCTTCAAAGCAGCTTAAACTTCATTTTCTAGAACTGCAAGGTCTTTTCTTAAGATTCATCTTCAAAGGAATCTTTTTATCTCTTCTGTATCAGTCTTCAGTATACAGTTTCTACCTTCTCTTTATTTTTTTCTGGTCAGATAGTGTGCTTCCCTGTTGGTCATTGTCATGAGTGCAGCTGAAGACCTGGAACCAGAAGGGTTAACCCAGGCTGAGGGGAATGCTGAGCAATCAGAAGCACCTGAATTGCCTCCAGATTCTCCTTCCTCAGCAGACAAGCTTTGGGCCAGGCTTCGGGGAAGACTTATGGCAAAAAGGTCAGAGGATCACTCGAAGGCTGTCCACAGAAACATCCGTTCAACTAGCCCTGAGTATTGACAGGATGGAAAGGTTTCCAGCAGCTCAAGGAGGGGCTGTTTTGCTATGAAAACAGCTCCTAGTCAGCTAGTCAGCTAGAATTCTGTGGAAGCAACAAGTCAAAACCTCTGACTTGCATCCACGTTCCTTGAACCGTGTTTCCTGAACTTCTGACTCTGGATCCAGACTTTGGACTACGTTGTGTGTTTGGACCTTGGACTCTGACTTTGGACTACGTTGTGTGTTTGACTCTGGACTCTGGCCTTGGACTATGTTCTGTGAGTTGGTTTGGTAATTGGATATTGGCTTTATATTCCTAGTATTCCTGACTTTGGACTGGCTTATCGGACCTCGGCTGTTGTTACCCCCAGGAACGTGACAGTCATTCACCATTCCTAATCTAGGCTTAAATCTCTCTTTGATTTTTTGGATCTGCTAGAAAAGTTGTTTTTCCCCTTTTGTTGTTCTCCTCTGTTTCTTTGCACTAGTTGTAGTAGTAGTTCTTTGTCTCTATGTAACAGTCGCTGAAAAAGTGCATTTTTGGTGTTTCTTCTATCATCCATCTTGTCTTTTATTTTCTTTTTACTACAAGAATCGTGTTTTTGTTTTATTTCCTGATAATATATCTGGTTTCACTCCAGAAATCTGCTAGTTGAGAGTCAGTTGAGTTTAGTAGTACAAAACTGTTCTTTGTGTAGTCTTTAAATTCAGCAAGAAGGTTACTTAAATTATATTTTGGCACTATGTTTCTTTTATTGTTCTTTTTCAGATTTAATGTAATATTGCATATTAACCATTCATGATCAGTGCCACAATCTGCATCTGGTCCTGTTTTGGTTGAGAGAATGCAGCTTATCCATTTCCTTCTTCCAATTACAGTGGTGCTTGCATTATGATGTTAATTCATTCCAGCAAAATCGCTGTAGAACAAAAATGTCGTAAAGCGAAAATAAAAAAGCCATTGAAACGCATTAAAACCTGGTTATTATGTTTCAAATAATGCGTTCCAATCGGCTAAGAACTCACTTTCCAGAGAAGATCCTCCATAGTGGCGGCCATTTTTGAGTGCCTGTGCAGCTGAAAATGGCTCCTAAACACAGTGGGGAGCCATTTTGAGCATCCGGCAGCCATTTTGAAAACCCGATGATCAGCTGTTTTTATCATCGGGAAGCGAAAATCGGTTCCTGAAATAGGGAACCGATAATCGCGCAGCAAAATTCCCCCATTCAAAACGTCATTTTGCGATCGCTTTTGCGATCGCAAAAACCTCGTTGTAATGCAGATTCATTGTTAAATGGAGCGCCTGTCTTGCGAGGCACCACTGTACGTAGTCTATTTGATATCTGCATCTGGTGATGTCCAGGTGTTCAGCAATTTCTTTGGTTGTTGAAAGCATTTGTTGTCAATTAATAGATTGTTGGCTTTGCAGAACACTATGAGTCATTTTCCTGATTCATTTCTGTGTTATCCATGACAGGATTTTACTCTAGCACAGAGATTTCCATTTCCTTCATCTTTCTGTTAAAGAATGACAAAGGTTAACTGGAGTGCAAGGTTTCGAAATGCAACATTGTCCAGCATAGGACCACCCAGTCACCTTGCAGCATCATTAGTTAAATAGAGAAAAGCTGGAATACAATGTCTTTGAAACCAACATGGGTGCTTCTCTCGGTCCTGGTTTTCTTCACGGGCACCACTTCCACTGGCAATGTCCTTGTCTGGCACACGGCCTTCAGCCACTGGCTCAATATGAAAGCTATCCGGGATGAGCTGACAGCCAGGGGACACCAAGTGACTGTGCTTGTGCCGTCAACTTTCCAGGCAAGTCAGTTCCATGAGCCTCTGCCATTTCAGGTGGAAATGATCTCTGTCCCAATCTCAAAAGAGGAAGTAGAAACTTTCATTCAGGATTTTCTATATATGTGGTCTTATGAGATGCACGAGCTTTTCTTCTGGGAATTTTTCATCAAGTTGTATGCCATTATGGAAAAAATAATGAGCACAACCAAACTTTTTTGTGATGCTGTTTTGCTGAACGAGAAACTGCTGGAAAAGTTTCGTTCTGCTGGTTTTGATATTCTCATTTCTGACCCATCCGTGGTCTGTGGGGAGCTGCTGGCTGAGAAGCTCCAGATTCCTTTTATATATTCCTTCCGATTCTCCAGTGGAAACACCTTGGAACGCTTTTGTGGTGGAATGCCCTCTCCTCCATCTTATGTGCCTGCCAGCCTGGGAGGGTTAACGGACAGGATGTCCTTTGTGGAAAGGATGAGAAACATGTTCTTTTACTTCTCTCAAGACGTCGTGTTTCATCAGGTTATCTTGAAAGACTGGGATAAGTACTATAGTGACATTCTAGGTAAGCATTTGTTTTCGGTTCCTGTCCTAATATTTTTACGTATACTTTAATAAGGCTAAGTTCACCTGTGCCTGTCTGTCCCATGGTTTTACTAAACAGGAGAACAGGCATAAGAAAGTGTAGATTTCAGCCCCTGAAGTTGGATGTGCCTACATTACAGTCATGGTGTCATGTCTGTCAGAAAGTTTCTAAGCCCACATTTTTGGAAGTTGGAAGACCATTTGATTTATGTTTTTCTGTTGTGTGGTGTTGTGTCAGGGAAGATTAGTAGGCTAGATAAATCTTTTCACACTGTTTTGATGTAGGTTGGCAAAATGGCAGAACGGCAACATTCTAGGTACCCATAGTAACCTGACCGTATACTATTAGGAAGAACTATGCATATTAAATAAAAAGTTAATACATTTTTAGTGAGCCTTGCTTAATTATCAATCACCTATGTAGACTCTTCACCTGTTCCTGTCTGTCCCATGGTTTTACTAAACATGAGAACTGTCACAAGAATGTGTAAATTTTATCCCCTGAAAATACCTAAGCCCACATTTTTGTAAGTAAGTCCGTTTGGTTTATACTTTTATGTTGTATGAGTTTGTTGGTGTGGGGAGTAGTAGGTAAGCCAAATCTTTTCCCACTGCATGACTTTAGGTTGGCCAAATGGCCAAGTTCTAGGCATTTATGGCAATCTGATCATAGACTATTGGGAAGAGATGTGTACATTCAATAGAATGTTAATGTATTTTTAGTTGCCCTTGCTTAATTATTAATCAGCTATATAGACTCATAATTAAAATGTATGTTCCATTCTTCAGGGATAATGAGAAAATAATGGCAGGGTGGGGTTTTTTTGTTCACACTGTAATGTAGATGTTAATCTACATTTTGTTTTACATAACAACAATGACAAAAATAGGATTCAAAATGTATTCCAGTTCCCAACGGAGACAAGAAAATCCAGAAAGATAAAGGGAGCGAGAGAATTTATTGAATTCTGATGTACAGTAACATCATGTACCTCTGCTGAACAAATTCTGCTGATTCAACGCACAGCTAACCCCTATTTGCTTGTTTTCTTTATTTGCATCAGAACCATTTAAAATTATGATCATAAATGTAATATAGATAAAATTAAATGCAAATTAGAATGGTTGTTGTGGGTTTTTCAGGCTCTTTGGCTGTGTTCTGGAGAACACGTGTTCTCCAGAACATGGCCAAAGAGCCCGAAAAACCCACAACCATTAGATCCCGGCCGTGAAAGCCTTCGCGAATATAGCAAATTAGAATGTTAAGATGATGGACTCTTTTTGATCAGAAACAGGCTACTTCAGTGTCATAAGATTCCTCTTCAAAGGCAGTGTCATCTTTTTATTTCTTCTGTATAGGTCTTTAGTATACTGTTTCCACCTTCTCTTTATTTTCTCCCGGTCAAAGAGTTTGCTTCCCTGTTGGTTGTTCACCATTCCTAACCTTGGCTTACATTTCTCTTTGATTTCTTGGATCTTCTGGATCTTGTTTTTCTCCTTTTGTTTCTTTGCACTAGTTGTAGTTGTAGTTCTTTTTGTCTCTATGTGACAGTCACTGAAAAACTGCATTCAGAGTTCTGACCTGGGGTGGTTATATGAATCAATGACTTGCAAAGTGTCCCTACAGCGCTGCTCAGATCTTACAGACTAACAGCCATGGTTTCCTTTATTGCGCCAATCCATCTCTAGCAATATTGCTCTAGCAATCCATTCCCTAGCAATATTGTGTTTTCCCTAATCTATGATTCCACGATTAAATTTCGTCTTCTCATATGTCCAAGCTTACTCATTTTTTGCTCCAGTGAGAGTTTTGTCAGGACTTGATTGAGCACCCACTTATCTGCCTTTTTTTTTTTTGACAATCCGTGACATCTGTAAAGCCCTGCTCCAACACCGCTTTATAAATGAATGGACTCCTCCCTCCCCCTGCTTTCTTCACTGTTTGGTTTTTACACAGTAATTGTATGGATAACCTTGATGTTGGTTTCTGGTGACATATCCTTACACTTGAGTAGCTCCTTCCAAGTTGCCTCTGCAAGTACCAGTCTCCTTCTGATTTCTTGGCTGCAGTCTCCCTTTGGACTGATGATTAAATCAAAGTAAAGGTGCAGTTCAGAAAAAAAGCAAGAAGACTGGGCATCATCATCATCATCACCATCATCATCATCATCCATCATCATCATCATAATAGGAAGAGGAAGAGGAAGGAGGAAGAAGAAGGAGGAAGAAGGAAGAAGGAAGAAGAAGAAAGAAGAACTGCAGAGCTGGAATGAACCCTATGGGTCTAAGGAGGCACTGTGTTGTTGTTTCAATAACACCACACCATAGAGATATAGCACTCTCTGAATGTTTTTCAGCATAATTATGCAAATAACACTTTGCCCTCTCAGCAAGCTGGATATTAATTTTACCAACTTTGGAAGGATGGAAGGCTGAGTCGGGCTTGAGCTGGCTACCTGAATCCATTGTGATCAAACTCAGGTCATGACCAGAGGCTTGACTGCAGTACTGCAGTTAACCACTGCACAAGGGGCTCGAATTCCCAGCCTCTGGCTCCACAACCAGATACTTAAACCACTGAGCTATCTAGCAGTCCAGCTATCCAGCATGATGAACCAACTTGTATGAAAGTGTTTTTTCCCCCCCTTTGCATATTTTCTTTTTGAAGTTGCTATTGAGGTCTGAGTATTTACAACCCTGTTGGCGGCACCTGAGTTTTGGAAAGCTGTGTGGATGAAGAAGATAAGAGCTGACTTTTTTTTTTGCTTTGAGGCTTAATGATGCATTTTCATTTCATATCTAAATCAACATGAGTCTTTTAAACAGACAAAAACGTGTGTGTGTGTGTTTGCTGTTAATAATTTTTACAGACAGACACTCATTTTTCTCCTCCTTTCTATGGGCAGAAGGGCTAATAAAAGCTTTTCAGACACAAAGGTTGTAAAAAAAAAAGCTGTTTGAGGCTAATTAAAGGGGACAAGATAAAAGGCAGAATTGAACAGAACAGGGCAGAAGGGGGGCTTCTTAATAAAAACAAATTGTGACAAAAGCAGTGAGATGCAGTGAATAAACATCAGAACAGTATTTTACACCTCAAACCTACAAAAAGTTACATTTTCACAAACCCTTTACTGTTCCCAAACCTGCCAGAACAGAACACATTGGCCCAGATAATCAAATCAAGTTCCCGACACATTTGTGACAATATGAGACAGATGCAGCAAACCAGAAATCCGCCTCAGGAACAACATTGAGTAGGGTTGTCGTTTAGTCATGTCCGACTCTACATGATGCCATGGACCAGAGCGTGCCAGGCCCTCATTACTTCCACTGTCTCCCGGAGCTGGGTCAAAATCATGTTGGTTGCTTCGATGACACTGTCAAACCATCTCATCCTCTGT